AAAAAGACCTAAAAATCATCAGTTTCAGTCAGCATTTATTATGATTATATCCAATACCTGGTACTTGTCATCAATGTGCTGCTTGAATAAGAACCCCTGGGTGAAATAAGTGCCATGTGCATTAAGGATCTTCCCACTGCTGTAATTTTCAGTAATTTCAGTATTTTCCATGCAAACAAATATTCTTTGTTTGTGTTTATTTCTTTGAACTAAAAATTAGCCCTTTTCTGCTTCTACACAGACTGCATTTAAATTCTGTTTTATGGCAGCTCCATCATTCATTATTTTAGTAGCTCTTAATTCATTGTTGCTGTGACCACAGATGGAAAATGCATTTTCACAGCTTCCATTTTTATCATTGCAGGAAGGGAATGCACAGTGAACCAGAGAGCTTTTCTTCCACTACGGAGGGTTTTGGGTTTGTTTGTGTAAGACTGGAAATGAATTAGGAGGTCAGGAAATGCTCATGTGAAAGTGTTTGCTGGTTTTGATATCCAGTAGTCTAAACACAAACATTTACACACAGATCTGGAAGCCTGAAGTACAAACATGGAGCAGCAGCCCTGGTAAATTAAATTCTGGGTTTCACATATTTATTCCAGCAGTTTAAATTTGTTTGAAAGTGCCAGTAAGTCAGCTGCACTTCTGAAGCTTTGTGTACAGTAAAGCTGATGTGATATTCAGTGTTTTATCTGTTTTGTAATTCCAGTTAATCACTGCTGGGTTTAAACAGCTCAGTGCTGTGCCAGGGGTTTGAAAGATCGTGCAGAGAGAATTCTCCTCAGATCAGTTCCTATCTCAGCAAAAACAAGTGAATGTTCAGTGGTGATGCTTTCATACCAAGCACATGCAAATATGGGAGGCAGATGTTTTGTAATAATTTGGCCCCATGAGTAGAGAAAAGAGCTTCAAAACATAGTTCCAGTATAAATGGTTATTTGAATGTTTTGAAGTTTAAATGAAACCTGCAATAAAAAAAAGGTTAAGCTAATAAATCCTCAACTTTAGAGTGCAAATTTTTCCTAATCATATGTTGGAGAGGGCAGCTGTGAGCACTTTCTTCTGTTTGGTAATAAGATATTTTTATGGTAATTACACTTAAGATTTTTTTTTTTTTTTCCAAGACAGGTTTGCATAATCTCTTCGGAAGAGGCTGATTAAGCAGAGAGCATTAGCCTTGGACTGGGAAAACTTCATTCTTTCCTTTCTTTCTCCCCCTTTTTCAGAGTGCTGCTTAAAATGGGACTTAGTGCTAAAGTTTTTGAAATACATTTGCAGTGTCTGCAAAAACCTGATTTAATGGTAGGTACAAAATAAGGTGTCACCAGCTCTAAGGAATTGTTTATGTGCTATCAGTATGTCAAGTTATTTCAAAAGTCAAAAATAAGGCACAAGCTGAGGGTTATTCTTATATATAAACTTTTATAAAAGTAGTTAAATAAACATAATTTCAAACCTTTTTTTAGTAATTGTTCTGGAATTGTAATTTATAATATAACTTTCCTCATGAACCCATATGAGGAATGAGTTTCAATGAATTGGTTTTGTGTCTACCAGAATTACTAATGCTAAACTGAAGCAAGACAATAAAATTTCAGATGTAGGAGCCTGAAGTGGAGCAGGAAGGGAAATCCAAGCCCAGACAATTTATATTAGTTAATAACTTGCACCAGTGTTTGTTTGTTTATCTTAATAAGAACCCTTTTAAATAAACATTATTACAGGATTTTTCTTATAACTTCTGTGAAATGTCCAACCATTAATTTAATTCCATTAAATATGGAATGTATTTGAGAAAATACTTTTAGGTTCTTTGAATAAAGAACTTCATAAAGGGAGGACAAACCTCTGGTGTGGATACAAGAAAACTCCAGAAAGCACAAGAAAAAACATGTTAAGGTGGTTTTTTCCCTTTAGTTCTTTATGTCTGATCATTCTTCAAAGACTTGTTACCAAAAAAAAATTATATAATAAAGTCTGACAGTTGATTTTTTTATTTCTTCCTCCCCCTCCAGCTTGTGATCATGTGTGTGGTCACAAGCATGGAATATTTTGGTGCCTCTGAGGGAATGGCTGAGCCTGAGGCCACAGAGGACATGAGTGACACACAGGAATTAACAAACCATGGATGGGTTGTTGTGCCCATCAATTATAAATCTTTGACTCAGAAAAAGCAGTTTTGCTTTTTTCGCTTTCAACTCTGTGAATGTGGAATTTCACAGATATTTAACTCTGCTTTATAATGTTGTCCAGATTCCTACTGTCAGTTTTGATGGATTTTTTTTTCACATGCCATGGGTTTGCTTTAATAATAAATATTTTTTTTACACTTCTGTCATGTTTTTAGAGTGATGAGCCATCCCCCTGCACTTCCTCTGGTGTGTTCTCATGCTTTTTTTTTTTTGTTGTTGTCTCCCTCTACCAAATATAAAACACTGGCTCCCTCTGCCAGGAATATCTTGCAAAAGCCCGTGGTGTTGTGGCCATGGTGTGGTTCACGAGGGGAATTTGTAAGGAGTTTAAAAAGGATTTAATAAGAATTTTTAAAAGATTTTAACAAGAATAGTGACTGAAAGTCATGGAGCACTGAGCATCTCACTCCCTTGGTGCTGAAAATGTTTCAGAAAATCCACGTGCCAACTCTTTGGTGTTTGCAGAGAAAACCTTCAAAATGGAGAGGGTTTTATCTGGAAATTCCTTGAGGATGGAGGTGTGCAGAATTCCCACTGGGATTGAAGTGGCTGAAATGAATTTGAGGAATTTGGAGGGTCTGGACCCTTGGTCCTGCCCAGCACTGGGAGTCCTGCTCCAAAACTGGGGAATTCTGTTGAAGGCCGAGCTCACAAACACACAGAGTTGAGGGAACCCACCCCTCCATGAGCTAGACCTGTGCCTATATTCTTAGAGAACAATATTTACCGATTATTACTTTTGGCTTAAGAGGGATGGTGACATATTTTAAGGCATCAGAATAGCTGTGTGTTCAACCCCACAGGGGTACAGAAACAGTGCCTGAGCACAGGGGCTGCTTTGGTTTTGCTTTTCCTCAATGCATGTCTGTATTAAAATGTGTATTTATTTGACTAAAATGTGATTTTTTTTAAAAAAAGGCACTTAGGGTAATAATATCCTTCTAATAATAACTACTCTAAATACTCTGTGTATTTAGTTGTAAGCTGGTGATTCTTAAATTGCACTCAATATATATATATATGTATTTATACTGTGTTTTAAATATATATTTAGTGTTATATATATGCATGCACACTGTTTATAATATATTTTATATGTACATATAATATATGTACGTATAATTTTCTGTTAATATACAGTATTTTATATACACATTTTATATACACTGTGCTTTATATTGTACATATATACACATATTTATATTTATATTTATAAAGATAGTTATATATTATTTATATATGTTTATATTATGGTTATAGTTATATATAGTTATAGTTATATACTGTTTAGCAGATTTATACTCACTGCATGCTTTAGACTTACCATAATATTCACATTTCTAATAATGTGTCATACTTAAGTTTTTCTGTATTTCTTTATCCCAGTGCTATGATGGCCAAAAGCTGATTCCCCCAGCTCTAATATGTTTGCATAACTTCATCCTGCTGTTTTTTTTTTTTTTTCCCCTTGAGCAGCTTGGCCAACCTGGCTGCATTTCTTCTGCTCCTTATTCTCCTTGCAGGAAGAGGAGCTGGAGTCAAGTGAGGATTTCTGGGTGGTTGCGTGAGGGATTACAGAGCTGCATCACGTGTGTTCCTCCTAAATCTCCTTTAGCCGTCTGCCCCTAATCTGATTTGAAGTCTGGAGCAGTAGGAAAAGGTGAGGGTGTAGCTTCAGGCTTTGGTTTGGGCAGAGCTCCCACCTTGCTGGGAGACAATTAAACCTCTGTGTCTTTATTTGAACAATCCCATCTCCTTTGTTCCAGCCTTGAGAATCCCTCCTTGCTTTCTCGTGCTCTAATTCACCCAAGCTGATTCAAGTTTTAACCTCCTTGGTTTAGTTTGAGTTTACATCATCTGTGAATAGAGATCAGAGAATCCCACAAGGGGTTGGCTTGGAAAGGACCTTGAAGATCACCCAGTGCCACCCCCTGCCATGGCAGGGACACCTTCCTCTGTCCCACATTGTCCCAAGCCCTGTCCAACTTGGCCTTGGCCACTTCCAGGCATGGGGCAGCCGCAGCTTCTCCAGGCAACCTGATATTTTTGTGTTTCTAGACTATTTTCTATAGTGCTGTTAAGTTCCTTCTCCAGCTTACTCTGCGTTTATATTGCATCACTTAAACCAAAATGGCTTTATTATATTTTTTTCAATTTTATTCTATTTGTCTACTTTTTTTATTCCAGCTTTGTGGAAAATCAGAGGGAGAAGGTTGTTCCTGAAAAACCTTCTCCCTAAAAGTTTAGGTCACAGTAGGAACCTACTGCAAGATTTGGTTCAGCATCACAAGAAGCCTCACTGGAGGTATCACTTCAAACACAGATGCTCTCTGGATTTGGCCAACTGAAATGTCTCTCTTTTTTTTTTATTACCATTAAAAAAATATGTCTTCATAATTCATGTTCATGTTTAGTTTATGTGGCAAAATATAAGAGGCATAAATGGGAATAATTTCCAGCCAAGTAAAAATTCTACTAAATAGTTTTGTTCTTTTTTATTAAAAAAGCAGAGTTTAAAATTTCTTTTTAAATACAGTAAAACTTTGATATTTTCCACTGAAGTATATTTGTTGCTTTGGTTTAGTCTGTCAGCAGCTTGTCCTTTATCTTCTAATACTTGCAGAATTTTCAGTCCACGTTTACCAAAACCCAGAACTTCTTTCAAGGGGACTATAAATGTTTTAATAGGTAGATTTTATATTTTGAGTAGTCTGTGGTGGATGTTGTTGCCATCAGTGGCTCCAAGAAATAAGTTAAATTGTGTGCTGTGAGTTCTGTGTTCTTTTGCAAGCAGCTTTTGTTAAAGAAAAAAAAAAAAAAGAAAAGAAAAAAGGTCAAGAATTTGTTTTCCTCTTATTCCTGGAAGACGAAGAAGATGAGTAGCTTGATAAAATGGCGTTGACAAGTTCAGCTGTTAACCATATTCTCTTTAAATAATATTTAATTTTTTTTTTTGATTTCTTTTTTAATATCTGTCTGTCTGTAGAAAATCATCATAGTAAAGCTACATATCCTGCGGGCAAGTTCTGGAGGAAAAAAAAAAAAAAAACCAACCAAAAAAACCAAAAAAGATCAAATGGACATTCCCGCACCATCGATGGTCGGGGCGATGTTCGGGGCTGTGCTTCACATCAGGGCGATGGGTTTGGAGCCGGGGTTGCTCAGGTACGAGGGGGACACCGTGTCCAGCTCCATGAAGGCGGAGTAGAGCGTGGTGAGCTGCAGCTCCGGCGCGCCCCCGTGCGCGCTCCCGGGCGCGCCCCCGGGCGCGCTGCCGCCGCTCTCCAGCTGGCAGTGCGAGGGAAAGCACTGCGGGGATGATGAAATGAGGACAAGCGGATCCACGGCCAGGCTGTCGTCTTTCAGCTCCTCCCAAAGGTTCCCTACAATAATAATGAGAATTAAAAAACAAACCCGTGGTGGGTAGTGGATTTGTTGGAATCCTGGATGCTGAGAATTTTCAAATTTTTGTGCTGGAAGACACAGACCCCACAAGAGAACACTGCATTTGATCAGAGGCAGTGGAGAAGGTTTCCAGAATGCAATGAGAGAATAGAGATTATGGGCGTGTAGCTTGACTAGAAGTGTGTAATATCACAGGGTGGAAAACTTCAGAGTTTAAGGATTTATATGTGTGTGTGTATATATATATAAATATTTTAAAAGATAAAATATATAAAAAAAAATATATACAGATATACAGCAACATATCTATATCTATCTCTATCTCTCTATCTCTCTATCTCTCTATCTCTATCTCTATCTCTATCTCTATCTCTATCTCTATCTATCTCTATCTCATCTCTATCCCTATCTCTATCTCTATCCCTATCTCTATCTCTATCTCTATCTCTATCTCTATCTCTATCTCTATCTCTATCTCTATCTCTATCTCTATCTCATCTATATAATCTGTATCTATACCATCTATATCTCTATCTCTATCTATATCTACATGTATATATATCCATATCTATATCTATATCTATATCTATATCTATATCTATATCTATATCTATATCTATATCTATATCTATATCTATATCTATATCTACATGTATATATATCCATATCTCTATCTCTATCTATATCTGTATCTACATGTATATCCATATCCATATCCATATCCATATCCATATCCATATCCATATCTATCTATCTATATCTATATAAATAAGGTAAGATGGAGGTTTCAGGATGGTGGCTGATTGTTCTTCACCTTCTTCTCCATGGGCTTGGGTGGTTTTGTGTAAGAGGATAAAAAAGTCCACATAGTGGACTTTGGGTGGTTGGTTATTGGGTTAAAAGTAAAAATAATTTAGGTGTCATTTCTTAATTGGATAGTTTAACTTTAAAAGCTCTTGTAGAGAAAGAGACTGAGCCATTTTGTAGCTTGTTAGTAGAATGCTGTAGAACTCAGGGCTTGTAAGACTAATATAAATAAGAAATAATAAACATTTGAGCCTGAACACAAAATATCATCTTCAATCCTGACCTTGACAGAGGCAGAAGTTAAAGAATTGACACAGACTGATTCAGATTTCTTTATATTTTCTCTCCATATGTTTCTTTATATTTGCTTTTGCATCATTGTGTTGCAGGAGATGTTGGTTATTAAACATTTGTGTGTAGGTGATCCCAATCTCTTGGGACTGAGGAAGGGAGGTAGTTGTTTAGATGGTTATTATTTGTCTGTCTCCATACATTTAAATCTAGGAGAAAACAGTGTTAACTCAAGAAAATTATTTCTAAAATTCTGTTAGAAATGTGTATTTATGAAGAACATAAGAAGACACCTCAGAAAAATGTAATTGTTTGGGGTGTAGATGCCATTGCTGCCTTGGGCAGAGGGAAAAAGCATCCTTTTTAGCAGAGATGTGGAATCAATATTGATAAAGAAAAATGCTAACATGTTAATTCAATCAAATTTACTTCTCCTGGTGCCTTTCACTCTACAATTCTCTTATAACAATGGCACTAAATAGTTGTGCTTGAGTAGCTTTCAGTTGAAAATAGGTCTGAATGTAAAGACCACATTCTAAAAACTGTATTGCAGTATTTAATATCAGCAATTGTAGCCAGGGGAGGAGCAGAAACATTTTTTACATTCCTGGATGCAAATCTGTAGCTTCCTTGGGAAACTTTTAAAAGATTTAATACAAAATTGCATGGGGTTTATATAAAATGTAACCCAGGAAGGTGAGGTTTGTAACAGCGGAGTGGAGATGGGAAAAAAGGGATAGAAATGGATTTTGTGGAGGTTGGGATGGGGTGGGGTGGGATGGGAAAATGGGGAAGGATGGGATGGGATGGGATGGGGTGGGATGGGATGGGATGGGGTGGGATGGGATGGGATGGGATGGGATGGGGTGGGAGATAACAAACCTGACTCTCCAAGCTAAAAACACCTCAAACACTTACCTTGGAGATCAAAATCAGTGAGGGATGGATTCAGAGCATCGATGTCATTGCTGAGGTCTCCCTCCTGCAGCAGCGTGTCCTGCACCGTCCTGGCCGGGGAATGCTCGGGCAGCATCTTCATCCCGCAGCTCGGGGGGCTCTGGGCCGGCACTGGGGAATCCTGAGGGATGCTGGGCTGAGTCCGGAGCTGGCTTTGAGCCTCCCCAGCAGGGAACAGGCTCGGAGGCTCGGGCGTGTGCTGCAGCAGCGCGGTGGGGATTTGGGGGAAGCCCTGGGGGGATGCGTAGCAGCCGGGCTGCTGCCCCCCCAGCAAAGCGGGCAGGGGGCTCTTGGCGTGCAGAGCTGCCGGGGCGTGGATGCCGTGGAATCCCTGCGGGACCCCCGAGGAGAGCGAGGGCTCGCACAAGGGATGGGATTGCGCTGCCATCTGCCTGGAGAGGGAGGCACCCGCGGCGCCCGGCGGGCTGCAGGACGCCAGGGAGGAGCGCAGCTTCTCGCTCTTGTCGCCTATCAGGGTGTCAAGCTCTTCTGGAAAACAAGGAAAAATCCATGGCTGATTGATCCCTGCAAATCTTGCAGCAGGAATTGTGGTGTCACTCAGGGAATGGCAAACAGAAGCCTTAGTTCTTATGTATTAAAAGCTCCAAAGCCTGAAAGGTTTTCTTTTAAATTATCCTTGCCAAGTGAGTATGTAATGAATTCCACTTTTAGGTTTAAAGGTTGGATGCTGAGTTAATCTCAGATTTTATTTGATATTTCATATTTCAGTGTTCTTTTAGTCACAGAGTGGTTTGGATTGGAAGGGATCATCTCATTTCACCCCCCACTCACTACACCAGGTTGCTCCAATCCCCACCCAACCTTGCTTTTTATCTTAAAGTTTAGTGAAATATCAAGAGAGAATATTTTCTTGGTGAATTTGGAAGCACCTACAAAACTAGGTCTACTTTAATTCTGCTTTTAAATTTTTTTACTTGGTTTGCCAACCAGGAAAAATCCTTAAATGCTTTCCTAAATCATGTTTAAATTCAATTTTGGACCTTGGTGAAAAGAAAAATTCTGGGGAGAACTGTTTGAGAGCTAAAACACCAACAAATGGCTGACCTGGCTTTGCCATACTCTTCCTCACAGCAACTGGGTCTTTCCTCTTCCATTTCTGAAGCTCCTCCTGCATCTTGTCAATCTTGGCTGGATTCAGAGCCCACAAACAGCCCTTTCGAGAAGAATTCCCTGACTTGTTCTCAACTTTCTCAAAGCACTTGTTCAAGGATAAGTTGTGGCGCACGGAATTCTTCCAACCATCTGGAGCTGTCTGGAGAAACAAACCCAATGTAAGAAGAGAACTTCAAGCTAAAAAAGAAAATAAAATTAAAAATGTGTGTATATATATAACTCTGTTTTGACTGGTGAGGTTACAAGAAATGCTGTTTAAGTTTGTACCTTCTGCAGTGAGAAACTTGAACGTTAGAGGGAAGCCACAAAAATGTTACAGTCATGTTGTGTGGGAAGAGAGGGATGAGATAAAATAGTAACTGATCTTCTAAGCAAAAAGGTTGTCAGAGACCTGCTGGCTCTGTAAGAGTGACTTTACACATCACAAGAATTAAGTGTGTAAAAATTCGTGTTCTGGAACTAACCAGAAATAGATCAGAATCTATTTTAGAGCACCTAGAAATATTTCCAACTCTTCATTAAAGTACTGTGTGCTACCTGGGCTCAAATTCAGTGTCTAGGCAGACTTCAAAGGGATTTCTCATGCTGCTGTAGGTGTAATTTTTGTGTGCTGGCCAATTACAAACCAAATGGTTTAATCACAAGCCCTCCAGATGAGATTCAGGTTTCCACAGCTGATCACTCATCTCTGTGCTTTGCATTTACTTTTAATTCAGCAGTAGAAGCTGGAAGGTTCTTTAAACTGGATCATTAAAATGATTGTTTTCTTTTTGCCAAAAAATCCTCATATTTTCTTTTAAATTTCTCATAAGAATTGCAGGAAATGAAACAGCTCTCTGAAATGTGGGGAAGTTGTCTGTGGCTATTGATTAATATTCATGGATGCAAATATGTCATCATAACTGTTTGTATCAAGCAGAGAATTATTGAACAGAGAACACAAGAAATAAATGTGGATTTCCACAGTCTTTTTTTGAATGTTAAAAATTAGAATTTCCCCTGGATTAATTAATTTTTTTCCCCCATTTTTACCTTTTATTACTAGGATCTTTCTCTCATAGAAAGCCAGATTTTTGATAGTTTGATAATTTCTTTAATCATTGCCTAGTCCATCAGACTTCCTCTTAGACCATCTTTTATAAATGGATCTGAGCCCATTTTGGCTTTCACCAGGCAGACGGTGAATTTTGAACATACTTTGATGAAATTATTTTATCAGGATTTAATTTTTTGTACATACTTTTATAAGGAATGTAAAACCTGTTGTTTTGTAGCTTGTAAAGAACTATTGTGTGGATTAAGGCATGAAAAGCCTTATTGATGAGACGAGGGTCAAATTTAATATTAACTTTCTTCATTAAGGTGTGGGATTAAATACATACTATTTACTAAAAGAGAAACTATTTTTCCCTGCAGAGCATCAGAGCTTCTTCCATTTCAGCCCACCTGATGTCAGCATTTCACTATCCTGTGTCATGGGTGAGACAACACAAATTGTAACAGGAAGGAAGAGGGGGGAAGAGAAGAGAGAAGAGAAGAGAAGAGAAGAGAAGAGAAGAGAAGAGAAGAGAAGAGAAGAGAAGAGAAGAGAAGAGAAGAGAAGAGAAGAGAAGAGAAGAGANAGAAGAGAAGAGAAGAGAAGAGAAGAGAAGAGAAGAGAAGAGAAGAGAAGAGAAGAGAAGAGAAGAGAAGAGAAGAGAAGAGAAGAGAAGAGAAGAGAAGAGAAGAGAAGAGAAGAGAAGAGAATTAAAACCTTTTCTGCCACAAGGTCATACTAAACACAACAAATCAATTTTTTCTCCCTTGCAGATAATATTCAAACAACTTCCTGGTAGTTCAAAAAGTGAATAAAACTGTTCCTCCCAGGTAAGTTGTGTATTCAGCTTCTGAGCAAGCTGACCTGGAAGAAGATTCCTGTTTCTTGCCCTGCACACAGACTCCCCACAGCCCTGTGTACCTAGACAGGATAATTGGTGTTTCTGCTCAGATGGGAGTGGCACGGGCTTCTCAGAAGTTTTCAGAACGTGTGGGGGTGTAAATTAGGATTTGGTTTTAGAAACTGTACAAGCAAAAAGAACATGGATTGATTTTGGAGGCTGCTGCTGGGAGCTGAGCCGGTTCTTGTGTTAAATTTGGGATTGCTGAGGTGTGAGAATTCATTTGCCCAGGTAGGGCTTAACACCCTGAGTGTGTTAAGAGAAAAAACCACCAGTTTTTAAAGCAGGTCTGATTGTTAAATGAACAAACTTTTGCTGCTGGTGTTGCTCTTGAGAAGCTGGAATCTCCAGGCTGATTTTGGCAACCACTGCCTTCAGCATGGTGGGGATGCAAGTGCAGAATCCTAAATCAGCTGGGGAATCCCAGAATCATGGAGGTGGGAAAAGCCCTCTGAGGTCACCGAGTCCAGCCACTGACACTGCCAAGGCCACCACCAATCCATGTCCCCAGGTGCCACATCTACAACAACACCTGAGCACTTCCCTCACACCACTGGCCCTTCTGCCCCCTTGGCCCACTGGCAAGAACTCCAATTAAAAAAGATTTAAGCTTTCTGTTAGACTCACTAATCACTACAGAACAAAAAAAAAAAAAAAAAAAAAAAAAAAAAAAAAAAAAAAAAAAAAAAAAAAAAAAAAAAAAAAAAAAAAAAAAAAAAAAAAGAAAGAAAAGAAAAGAGAAAATTATTGTCCAGCCCCACTGATCCTGACCAGCTCTTGAAGTTTAAAGAGTTCAGTGATCTTGCAAAACCCTTTCTCTTTAAATCTAGGTCTCAAGAGAAGGGAGAGGTACATCAAAGACTAATTCAACTTTAGCTGTGTAGATTTTTTTTTTTAAGGACGTAGGAGTTGGATTGCTCTGTTTCAACTAGAAATGAGATTGTTGCATCATAGAAACTAAATTTGCTGTGGCAGCGAATCCCAGTTAATTTGACTCAGCTTGTCATGTCTCCCAGCAAGGCTCTGTGTGCACTTGCTTTCTTTTTCTCTCCAACCTAAATTGCTTCCCCTCTCCCTGTTGTATCCTGCTTTTTAGTGAGGGGTATCAGCAGCAAAATGTTCTTTCCTGATTTTTATGTGATTTTATTTTGATGAAGACTCTCCAAAAGCAGGAAATATGGAGGATATTAATTTTTGCCATATTTTGGTAATTCTCTGCTGTAAAGACCAGAGGCAGACAGGGATTGATGGCTGTAAATGTAATACCTGAGTGCTCATTCTCCCCTGGTTATTTTAAGGACATTACAGTCAAATAAATTTGGTGGCATTTGCAAATAAAATGCAAAAATAAAGCTGCTACAAAATAGGGAATGCTTGGGTAGTACCCCCTGCACTATTCTTTTCCTAAAGCAGTAACCTCATTCTCATCAGTTTTAAAATAAATTTAAAAAAAAGACATGAGGTTCTGAAAAACCAGGAAGGACCAGGATGGTGACACCTGGCAGAGCCACAGTCCTGGGTCTGAGGGATTCTGCCCATGCTGGCAGCAGCAGCATTTGGTTTAAAGCTGCTGATTAATTTTATCATCAATTGTGTTGTGAGACAACAGAGAATTCATTTCAGTTTGATCTGATGAATAAACATGCCTGTAAAATTTATCAGTAATATTCCCACCTCTCTGACTGAAACTCTTACTATTTTCCTGTGGATTCCACTAGGATTTCTAATGGTTGATTTCTTTATTTTTTTTTCTCACTTCTCTTGCTTGTAACAAATGATGGAGTAGTTAGTGATTCCTTTGGAAGGGAGTAGAGCAGTGTGGATCCTGACAGTTCTTCCTTTGTGATAATGTGTATTTTTCTCTGATTGCTGACACATTAAATCTTCTTTTTTTTTTTTTTGTATGCTGTATTTGTCCTCAGTGTCCAAAACCACTGCAGAATTGTATTGGAACGTTTATATTTTATTATTCTCAGTGTTCCTTTATTACAAATATTTGAACTGCCTTGCTGTGGCTGTTTTAAATTTGCCTTGATTCTTGCAGGGCTATTTGGACGTAGGAAACAGGACACACTCACTGGCTTTATTTTCATTTTTGGGTCTTGCTCACAGCTGAGCTCACCCACTGTGGACTTCAGTGAGGTGAAGAATCAGCAGTAAAAAAAGCCCTGAGTGGAGCAGCACTTGATGATTCCATTACAGCTCTTTCAAAAATCTTAACTAATCCTCCTGCTCTTGGATCCCTGTGCTGACTGAGCACTTCCCAGTGCCATTCCAGGGGTGAGGAGCCATTCCCTCCTAGCAGGGATCCAAATTTCAGCAGTGCTGCTGCAAACCATCCACCCTTTCCCTCCCCAGCTCACCGTGTCATTATCAGCTTAGTGCCATTATCACCCATGACATTTTCCTTTGTACAGGGCATGCACGGGATGCTGTTGCCCAAGATGAATATCCCAGCTCCAGGATGGAGTGAAATAAGCTGGAATCCTCTGCTTCCACACCAGTCTGGTGGCAGAGGAAGCTACAAGACCAGTTCTGCCTCTATTTGAGATCTGAGAGGAAGCAGTGAATGTGTTTTTAAAATGATTTACCCTTTTTATGGGCTGCTGGTGACGAATGGTCACTGTTGCCCACCCAAGCTCACAGCTGGAACAGTTCTTAATATCTTTTTGAGTTAAATATGACCACATTTCACATTTCTGCCTAGATGCAAAAGGCTGGGTAGCTTGTGATCATGAGAGTATGGAGTGTGCAATTGATTTGGTATTAATCTCCTAAGAAATAATCCCTTTTCATAGCTGGAATCCCATCCCTTATTCCCTCTGCTGACACATAAGCTTAGAGGGAGATTCCCCTCCCCATCCCTGTGGAACTCACCTTAAAGTAAGGGAAATGTTCCGTCATGAAATTGTAAATCTCACTGACTGGCAAACTCCCTGTCTTGCTGTTTTTGAGAGCCATGAAGATCAGGATGCTTTAGGGAGACAAAAAAAAAGCATTTTAGCCTCTTCTGCCTGACTCCTCACAGCCAAAAATAGATCATTTTTTTGCACTGTGTGTAATGACTCTGACTTTCACTGCCATAGCACAAATAGAAAGATGATTTTATGTTTCCACTCTGTTGTTTACAACAATCTCCTGAACTCCTACAGGTAATTCTCCAAGCTCATCTAGAAGGTCCAACCTGGGTTTAAAATAGAAGAACACAGAAAGTAGAATCAAGACCTTCAAATCCTGCTGGTGTGTAATTACTGAAGGTTTTGTTTGAGTGCTTTAAATGGTGGAGGCCACAAAGAGAATCAAACTGACAGTGGTAGAGTGATCATTAAAATTTGTCTGATCCACTTTGGGGGCTAAACTGCCATAGCTGATATGTTTTTAAGGCATTTCCTTGTTGATGTAACTGGGGAAAATAATTTTTAATACAGAATAGACAACTCAGTAGCACCAGTCTTGTGCTGATGAAATTCGCAACACTTAAAATTTTGCATTAGAGAAACATCTCACTTTTTGTTTTTTTTTCCTTTGGGGAGTGACCAAGACTGTTCCCCTGCTTTACAACACTTAATTTCTTTGTGCCTTGGCTGGCCCCAGAGTCTGGAACGTTTTGTGATCCCCAGGGACAGGACAGAACACCCCGGGAACAAGACAAATAGAGAGAACGTGTTGTTGCAAACGATGCTGGAAACAGGCCAGGGGTGAACAGGGTATTTCCTGTAAGCTGAGGGCTTGGAAAAAGATTGGATTACCTGTAGGAGTAGATGGGTTTGGGGAACAGAGGCTGCTGAGATTCTTGGCTGCTCTGAGGAGCAATCCTTTGGTAGGGGTAGTGCGAGGAAGCGATGTAAGTCACGGGGTAGCTGCCTCCTGAGGGGTACTGGGGGGACAGCAGAAATATTATTTCCTTTAGCAACAAGCTCCCAAAAATATTCCCTAATAACAGCATTATTTCTGAGGATATTGTATGGCAAAAAGTATTTTCTTCTTTACTGCCCGCTATGTGAAAAGCATGAGGAGCTGTGTCCTATTAATTGTCCTCAGATAATTCTTAATTTTCTAGCCCTAGAGCTTATCTCCCTCCAGCCATCTCATTTGAAGTATTTCAGCCTGCTCAGCCTCCCCTGGACATGCACACAAAGAATGAATGATGTCATTTTATTGACATTAAAACCCCAAACCACCAGAATAAAAAACTTCAATGTTCACATTAAAAAAACCATCTGAGGAAGTAAAGCTGCTAAAAATGAAGGAAGAAACATGGAGGTTTTGCCTGAGCCTTATTTGGGTTTGTGTGCTATTTTTTTCTTGCTTTTTTATTTAGGTGGAGAGGGTACAGAAAGGCAAAAATTGAGAGCATATAATATTTGCTCCTAAGGGAACGGTATCCCAAAATCTCTGTTAAAATTTTTGTTACTGTGCAAAGCAGGGAAAAAAACAACAAACAACAACAACTTTACTGGATGCACCAGAATATATTTAAGATTAATGTATTATTCTGGAATAAGTCAGTGATGTCATTCCAGGGGTCAGGAGAGCAGCACATGAGACATTTTTGAGGTGGTTTCATGCTGCCTGTCTTGTGCTGAAGCTGTTGGGCTGTTCCCTGTCTGTTCCTTTCACAGTTAAATCCAAGGAAAAAACTTCTCCACAGGGCAAGGAGTTAATGTGCTGTTAACCACCACCTCAAGTGACTTTTCCACTCCATTTTCTCTAACAGCAACTGAAAAGAATCGCCAGGACCCCTAAAATCAGACGATATTGATGCCACTCTTGCCTTTGCCCTGGGAGCAGCACAGAAGCTCCCTGAGGAATGCTGCCCTGCAGATCTCTAAGCCTGTCCCAAGACACACCACAGTGATGGGATCACCAGGATAAAAAACCAGGTGAAAGATGAGATGATCCCCACAGACAGCCTGGATTGCACCAGAGTTTCTATAGATTTGTTCTCAATACTTTTTTTAACACAGCACTTGCTCTTTTTTCTTTTCTGAATATTCCATCTTTTTCTTCTTCAAATCACATTTAAACCTGCTGCAAAGAGACTTTCAGGAGCAAAGGAACGTGATGCAGTTTAGGTAAGATAACATCAGCTGGCTCTGTGAGGGCTCTGTGCAAGAGGAATTTCTGCCTCTTCCAGATAAATCTTTCCAGATGCCAGGGGTGAGGACATGGCCAAAATTAGGAGTCCTGTCACATGCTATTAAAAAATCCACCTGGATGCCTTCCCTGGTACTCAAAGGTTGCTGAGCCCTGTCCTGATGTTTCACTGCTCAGCTCCAGCAGTCCTGTGCCATGAGGTTTGTGTGGTTCCTCTTACAAATACTCTCAAGACTCATTGGAAAAAATCCCTTGGACATCTTACTTTCTAATTCTAATTCCTTTATTTTTTTTGGATCAATAGTTTTGATTGCTCTTGGTCTTTGTCCCCTTAAAACAGCAAAAGATTCACAGTTTATTTATTTATTCTGTACTCTGAATAATTAATGTAATTTTCTCTGTAATTTTATGCTGCCTGTTTGCTTTTATCTTTCGAACACTGAACTGTCTGAAATGGAATGTGGAAAACCAGACTGAATAGACTCAGTTGTTTGCATGGTGAAAGAAATGAAATGTACATAATTAATCATGTCTTGCCTTGTTAAACCAAATATTGGGCACAATTAGAGTCTCCACAGCAGCTGTGAACTAACTTTTGTGTGCAGTGTGGTGCTCCCTGCCTTGTGCACTGGCTGCAGAATTTCCCCCAGAACTAGAAAACCCGGCAATTCCTACAATAATTCTGATTTTTATTGGTCTGGCTGGCTCTTTGAAAGGAAACAACCCTAAGATAGGGCTGGTTTTGATGTCAGCATGAAAGGCCAGACCTGGGCGTTTTATTTCTGTTTTATTGGTCCCGTGAGTCCTTTTTGAGGAAGGGAGGCTGGGGAATGGGCTGGAATGACAGGCTGGAGCTGCTTTGACAGTCTCCCATGGCATGAAAGGTGTTTTATGGTGGGTGGGTGAGTGACTCCAGCCAGTGTCTGCAGCTCATTTGGGTCAAGAATCACTCATTTTTTCTTCTGAGTCACCAGGTTTGTTGTGTCCAGCAAAGGGGAAGGTGAGGCTGTTTTATCATCTGGACAAAATTAATGAAGGGGCTGAATCCCTCTCATCCCTCTAATGAAAACTGAGGCTCAGGTGGAACAAACTTCACTCGAGGGCCCGTTCTCCAGAGTGGAACTTCCTTGGAGTGATTGAACTTGCACTGCCCCATTCCAGTTGGAAATGCAAAGAGTTAATAATGGGGCTGCTCCATGCAGGAGAGCTTATTCCACTTTTCTCAGCTGCATCTCAGCTCTTTTCATTTCCCAGTGTGTGATCATGGCACAGGGATAGCAATTCTACCTATTTTACCTATTTTTAAAATTTATTTTTTAAAAAATTTATTTTTATTTTATTCCTGAGCAGTAGAACACGTTGTCAGACCTTTTCTGTATTAACATTAAGCACAGGTAGTGAAAAGTCTGACAGAAACCTGCTGCACTTCAGAGATTTGTCCCAGTGCCAGCCTGCAGGTGGATGGAGGATTTTCCTCTTGGTGCCTGTTGGGTCTTGCCTGGCAGCTCCCAGGAGTTTTAAATCTGGAGCTTTTTGGAATGTGATCAGTATAGAAACAGCACTGGCATCAAATCAGCAGGGACAGGGGAAAGGTGCCTGCTGCAGAATGGATATAGAAATTAAGAATATTCCGTGAATTCACAAGTTAAGTGAGATTTCTGCACACAAAAATGGCATTTTTATAGTGGGTGACATATATGGAGCTGTGATATATCCACGATAGTTTATATCTGCAACAGAACTTTTTTTTTGGCACCATTTTGGGACCATTTTCTTCTAAAATAACAATAATGGATTTGTAAGTCAGGATGGCAGTGCAATATCACATTTCCTTTTATTTTATTTAAATTATATTTATATTTATTTTTATTTTAGTCAATTATGCTTCAGCTGAATGATTTTTCTCTGGGGATGATGTAAGAGGCAAAAGGTTCCAGAAGAGATGTGTGTGCCATCAAGCACAAGGAAAGTGAACATCATTTTGCTGTTCCAATTTTACTTTAAAATATTTTTCTATGTTTCATCTAAATTTCAACAATCTATTTAGGGCTTTTTTTTTTTTTTCCTGAAGTTAAAGCATAGTTAATTAAAATCCTGAAATATCAAGAGTTATATTAATAATTTTGTCTCCAAAGCAAATTTTCTTGGGTGTAAATGTGAAAATATAAATATGCAGTACTAAGTTTTTTGTACAAGTTTTGGGGTTTTTTTCCTTCTTTTTCTTAATGACCACCTTAAATTGCATTTAGCTCTGTTTCTTTTTAGATCTTATCAACTGAACGTAGGCATATAAACACGGCCCTGCAAACCCACAAATTTAGATATTTTTAAATCCTTTGAAAAAAAATTCTTATTACCACAATTTTTGTACCATTTGAGTGCTAAAAATCCAGGGATTTTGGTGCACTGACCTGATGGAAAGGGTGTGAGGAGCAATACATCTGCTGCACCTGGGGCTGGTAGCAATACAAACCAGGCTGCCCTTCCTGGGGGGATGTCCTGAGCTTCATGTCTGAATCCTGCTGCAAAACAGGCAAGGAAGGAGTAATTAGAGAAAAGAGCTGAATTTGTTCATATAAATAGGATCATTCTGTTAGTCACTGTCTGGATTTGCCTTCATTATGTTGACTTTTTGGGGGCTTGTGTTTTAGTAAGGGTTATAGACGATATATAAATAAAAATATAAATAAATATATATAAAATAGAAGTTGGTTTATGTTTTAATGGTGCAAATCTGAGGATGAGCCATCCCTGGAATCGGCCAAGGCCAGGTTGGAGCACCCTGAGACAGTGGAAGATGTCCCTGCCACGGCAGGAGGTGACACTGGATAATCTTGAAGGTCCCTTCCAAGCCAACCCACCCCTAGATTCCACGGAGACATGAACCAACTCCTGCATTTCCATAATTACAACTTGAAAAAAAGGAGCTCCCAGGCCACATTCCATGCAAGGAGCAATTCAGAGAACATCAGGCTCTGTTTATATTCTTAATTTTTTGCTCCCTGCACACACAAACCACACACTCCAGCTTTTTATTCCTGAGTGTGCACAAGTGTCTCCCTCGTTTTTCATTCTCCTGATTTTATCTTGCTGGCTGGAAGTGCTTCCAGCTGCCTCTGGAATTTTGGCATTAGCTGGAGGATGAGGTCTGTAATGTACAGGAAAGAGGTGGCAGAGGAAAAATCACACTGGGCTGGCTACTGGGTTCAGCCAAGATGCAGGAAACATGTAAAAATGGAGGAATTCGGTGAGAAACTTGTTTTTTTTCAAGAATCCAATAGCACTTATCCTTCTACTTTAAAACATGGCCACCTTTTATGGCATTTTAGTCTGTCTAAAAATATAAATAAATAAATAAATATACACACACATTATTTCTTATAGATAGTTTATATATCATGCATGTAATATATCTAATAAATATAAAAACATTCAGTCTTTTTATGTTATGTTATTGGAAGCACAAATTAGACTTGGTTTGACATTCACTACTAATAAATATCAGGGTTACCTTGGTGACCACCAGATGAAGAGTTTCAGAAATCCCAACTTTCCAGCAGCATGGAAGTGATTTAAAAGGGGGAAGTTGGGTGCTGGCAGGACCCAACAGGGAGTAGCTACACCTGCTTGTAAAGGGCTCCTACAGTGCTGCCCTTGCATCCTGCAGCCCAGGGATTTGGGAAGAAAATGGGAATTTTTGGTTTTTTCGCCAGCTGCTCATAGGTTTTGCAGCACTGAGGTCCTCTGACCTAGATGAGTGTTTATCCAGGAAATAAGAGATTTAGATCAATTTCCTCCTTAACCTGGATGGCTTCAATCCCCAGGTATGTTCCCTGACAACATCTCTCCATTCCCTGCTCTTAATCCAATTAAGAATTTTTTTTTTTTAAACTCCTCTTTCATTTGGTAGCCCTGAATTCTTCCTCTCCCAGGCATTTAGAACCAGCTCAGGGCTCTCCTTTGGCAGGTGGAGTTGTTCTTTTTGGCTGCAGGAGATGATCAAGATACTCTTTGCACCTTGGACCACAGCAGAGATATTGTGGAGATATTGGAGGGTAATTTAATTTGCTTTTCAGGGATCTCTGCTGCCTAGTATTGAAATAAGCCCAGGTAACTTTGCACGGCACATATAAATGTCAGAGCTGATCTTTATTTTTGGTGGCATTGATGTCTTAGAGTTTTCTCTTCTATTTGCACGGAGAAAAGTGTGGAGGTGTTGGACCAAATCTGCTCCATCCTCATGCCTGAAAACACTGTTTTGTGAACCTTTGTCTCTAGAAAACCCCAGCTGACGACAAATCTTGTTGTCAGGGAGCATTTGGATATTTTGGATATCTGTACCCCGTCTGATGGAAAACCATTTATCTTTATGCATCTTTCTGAGGATCGTTTGGGGAAAAGACCATAAAACAGAATTTGGACAAATAAACACGGATACGTCTAAATCTGCTTCTCCGATAAACGCTAAACGCCAACATAGCCACACTCTAACAAGAAAACACTTCCAAAAGCCCATTTTTACCGCTGAAAACAGGGAAAACAACAACAAACCCCCACTGACCATGCCCTGGGCGCCGTGCTCCTGCCCCGTGCCGCTGTACTGCAGGCCGGCGCACCACGGCTGCTCCGCGGAGAGGTTTGGGACGTGGCTGGGAAAGGCCCCCGGCTCCTCAGCCGGCGCCGGGAGCCCCTGGAAGCCGTCGAGGCTCCGGCGGCTCTGGAAGGGAGCAGCTCCGGGCGGCAGAGCCTGCGGCGGCTCCTGGAAGCCATCCTCGCTCAGCTGCCTCCTGTAGGGGTGGAAGGGGCTCCTGCCGCTGCCGAGGAAGCGCTCGTAGCTGCCGGCCGCGCTCTCCTCGTAGCTGCAGCGCCGCAGTTTCTCGGTGCCGAAGGACGCCCGGAGCTTGCTCCTGCCGCACGGGAGGCCCGGGCCGCGCTCCCGGCGCGGGGAAGCGGGGCTGGCGCTGCCGGAGGATGCCGAGCGCGGCCGCCCCGGGCCGGCCTCCGCCTCCGAGGGGTGGCTGCAGCCGCGCTCATCCTGCGGGGCACAGGGACGGTTGCTTATTGAAATTGGAGCGAATATGTGACTGTTTTCTATGTTTATAGTTATATTTATATTTATTTATATTTATATTTATATTTATATTTATATTTATATTTATATTTATATTTATATTTATATTTATATTTATATTTATATTTATATTCCTAGTTATATATATATATCTATCTATAGTTATATAGTTATAGTTATATTTTGTATTTATAGTTTTATTTATATTTATATTTATATTTATGTTTATATTTATAGTTATAGTTATAGTTATAGTTATAGTTATAGTTATATAGTTATAGTTATATTTTGTATTTATAGTTTTATTTATATTTATATTTATATTTATATTTATATTTATATTTATATTTATATTTATATTTATATTTATATTTCTAGTTATATATATATATATCTATAGTTATATAGTTATAGTTATATTTTGTATTTATAGTTTTATTTATAGTTTTATTTATATTTATATTTATATTTATATTTATATTTATATTTATATTTATGTTTATATTTATATTTATATTTATAGTTATAGTTATAGTTATAGTAATAGTTATACCTATATTTATATTTATATTTATATTTATATTTATATTTATATTTATATTTATATTTATATTCATATTTATAGAAATTTTAAAGTATAAAATCTATATTTTAATCGCCTCAAAAGCCGTGATGAAACGTTGATATTTATTTATTAATATAATTTTTATTTATTTAGTAATATCTATTTATTATATAAATAGAATATTTATTTATTTATATAAGTGCATTTTATAATTTTTATTTGTTTATTAATATAAAATTTAAAATATAAAATATATTTTAAAGTATAAAATTTATATTTTAATCGCCTCAAAAGCTGTGATGAAATATTGATATTTTTTTATTAATATAATTTATATTTATTAATATCTATTTATTATATAAATAGAATATTTATTTATTTATATGAATGCATTTTATAAATATAATTTTTATTTATTAATATAGATTTTAAAATATAAAATTTATTTTAAAGTATAAAATTTGTATTTTAATCGCCTCAAAAGCTGTGATAAAAAGTTGATATTTATTTATATATTTATATATTTCAATTAATTAATTAATTAATATAAATTTATTGGCACTCACAGATTGGTTTAGAGTAGAAAGGCACCATTTAATATAGGTAATAGGCACTGGGGAAAACTGTAACCATGTAACATGTAATGTACCATATAAAAGAAAAACACCATTTCATATAGGTAATAGGCATTGGGGAAAACTGTAAACATGTAACATGCAATGTACCATATAAAAGATAGAAAAGCACCATTTAATATAGGTAATAGGCATGGGGAAAAACTGTAAACATGTAACATGTAATGTACCATATAAAAGATAGAAAATCACCATTTAATATAGGTAATAGGCATGGGGAAAAACTGTAACCATGTAACACGAGATGTACCATATAAAAGATAGAAAAGCACCATTTAATATAGGTAATAGGCATTGGGAAGAACTGTAACCATGTCACACGTAATGTCCCATATAAAAGAGAGCAGCAGCCCTGGCGGGGAGAGCAGAAGCAGTCGGGGTCAGAGAGGATGTCAGGGTGTGTGTGTGCCTCTGCCTGAGCTGTGAGCAAACCACAGCAGCCCGAGGAGAAAATCTTTTAGATAACTTGCAATAAACTGCCTTGAGACCAAACAAGAGACTGCTGAGTTTTCTTTGGAAGCTCGGCTTGGAGGAGAGACTTTTCCACCACACGGAGCCACCCTGAAGTAGGGATTGCCCCGGCAAGGAATGTGATAAGTGCAAGTCTTGTCGCCTGCAAGTTTAGTCAAATAAGCTTGATCTCATGCCCTGATGGGCTTCCAAGCTGCAGATTTGTTGGTGGTTACATCACTTCCCTTCATTAAGGTGGCCACACTCATTTGGAGGCACGAGATGGGCAGACACTCCAACCTTCCTGTCTCATCTCCTCCCCTCCCTCCTGCACTGCAGCAAGGAGAGAGCAGCAGCTGCTGAAGTGCTCTTTAATCTGGAGGGGAAAGGCTGGAGCAGGGCTGCAGTCTGCATCCTGGCACTGAAAATATGCATATTTCCCCTGACATCAGGCACGAGTAATTAGTGGAAGCCTTTGAGAGGACACACATCAGGCAGGAGCAGGGTGCTGTGCTCAGGGAAGGGGAAATGGAATGTCCTGTGCTCCACAAAAAGGCAGACCAGATGACTGAGGGCTCCCTTCCCTCCTTCCCTCTCCAAATCCGAGAAATCCCACAAGGGAAATCAGGATAAATCCACTTCTTTCTGCAGTGGAACACAGCACAGCTTTCCCAGTCATTTTTAGGAATGCAACAGAACATTTAGCTGGAGTTGAAGATTAGCTGAGCAGGATAACTCGGGTTTCTGCCC